CATATCATCGACCAAGACGGTATCCACTCTGATCCCCAGAAGGTGCAGGGCATTCAAGACTTCACGCCATGCCAGGATGTCGCGGATGTGAGAAGCTTTCTCGGCCTCGTCAACCAGCTTGGCAAGTTCTCTCCCTCACTTGCTTCCGTCTCACAGCCGATCCGCGACCTTCTCAAGAAAGGCAATGCCTGGTCCTGGGGACCCCCTCAGCAATCGGCATTTGAAGAGATTAAGGCTCTTCTGTCGTGTACGCCTGTTCTTGCACTGTACTCTCCCGAGTACCCAACTATTGTCTCTGCAGATGCCTCGAGCTATGGTCTCGGTGCCGTTATCAAGCAGCAACAGCCGGCCGGCGATTGGAAACCCGTATCGTTCCAGTCTCGTGCACTACTGCCGGCAGAGCGTCGCTATGCTCAAATAGAAAAGGAAGCTCTTGGCCTCACCTGGGCTTGCAACCGATTCTCTGATTACCTCATCGGTAAGAGATTCACGCTGGAAACAGATCACAAGCCTCTGGTGCCCCTGTTCAGCACCAGTGCTCTCGACTCTATCCCTCCACGTGTACTTCGGTTCCGGCTCAACCTGATGCGATTTGATTTCGACATCGTACACATCCCTGGCAAAGATCTAATCGTTGCTGATGCCTTATCTAGGTCACCTGCGTCGCGTCCTCTGTCCGCTGATGACGTCCGCCTCCTCGACGACGCAGAAGCTTTTCTCGACAGTGTGGTTTCTCATCTCCCTGCGTCCGATGCAAGACTGAGTGAGATTCAACACCAGCAGGCTCAAGACCCAGTGTGTCAACATCTTGTGCAGTACACTCTGTCCGGTTGGCCAAGTTTACAGTCTGCTCCAGTGTCCGTTAAGCCCTACTACGCATCCCGGCAGTCATTCTGTATCACAGATGGCCTGCTCCTGTACGGTTCCAGAATCGTCATCCCGGACCAGCTCCGTCCAGAAGTCCTCCAGCAGCTCCATGCTGGTCACCTCGGCATCACGAAGACCCGCGAAAGGGCTCGCCAGTCAGTTTGGTGGCCAGGTCTAAGCGCCCAGTTGGCTGATATCGTGTCCAATTGCCAAGCCTGCGCTCGTGACAAGCCAACGCCAATGGAGCCCCTGCTGTCCTCACGTCTTCCCGAGTTCCCGTGGCAGGAAGTCGCTGCCGATTTCATGCAGTTCCAAGGCTCTCAGTACCTAGTTGTCGTCGACTACTACTCCCGATGGATTGAGCTTGCTCAGATGTCCCGTACTTCTGCAGCTTCTCTCATCACGCAACTGAAGTCCATGTTTGCGCGTCACGGCAATCCAGATGTGTTTGTTTCGGACAATGGTCCCCCATTCACAAGTGCAGAGGTTTCAGCATGGCTTCAAGAGCAAGGAACCACCCAGCGCACGAGCAGCCCTCTTCATCCGCAAGGCAACGGCTTAGTGGAACGCGCAGTGCAGACCCTAAAGCATTTGCTGGTGAGGGGAGGTGATCCGTATGTTGCTCTGCAGAGCTATCGTGCCAGTCCACTAGCACATGGCTTCAGTCCTGCGGAGCTCCTCATGGGCCGCCGCATCCAGACGCGTTTACCCATGTCGGCAGACGTTCGACGGCCATACCTCGTAGATCGCACAGCGTTTGCCGCTAAAGACGCCTCTCTGAAGTCCCGGCAAGCGTCGGATTTCAACTCCCGCCATCGCGCTCTCGATGCTACGCCACTGGTCCCGGGTACCGCTGTCTTTGTTCCGGATAGGAAAGAGCCTGGTATTGTCACTGCCGAGCATTCCACCAGGTCGCTTATCGTGGAGACGCCATCCGGTTCGGTTCTCCGCCGCAACCGCAGTGACCTCATCGTCGATCCGCCTGCAGGTTCTGCTAACGACGCTGTGGACAATGGTGAGCCAGCGTCACCTGCCCAACGTCCATCTCCAGGTACTCCCGTCCCTGAGCGTTCCGGTAGAGTTACCCGTTCTGGACGTGCCGTTCATACTCCTATCAGATTCCGTTAATCATTTAGCGTTACTCTTTCGTCTTCAGCATTATTCCTGTTTTGCTAACTTATCGCTCTCTTGCTGCGCGCCCTGAAAGGGGAGATGTCGTAATATCTGGACTCTATTATGCGTACACTACTGTACACTTATGCCTGTATGCGTTGCATGCTGTATGTACGTCACACAGGCCGTTTCCCGTAGGCCAGAACTTTGATGTGCTTCACTGGCTCGGCACTTCTCTTGTTTTTGACTTACCTACTGGTTGTGCATTTCTTGCTCCTCATTAGTTTACTCGTCCATGTCTCCTTGTCCCTATTGAGAATAATACTACAGCCGCTATTGCACGACGCAAATTCGAAGGTCAAGGAGCATATCGCGTTCGCAAAATTCTTGACTGCAACGCTTTCTTGTACATACATTTGTCGTCAGTAAAATAGTTCAGTTTCTAATTCAAATAAATTGGCGAATTGTACATAGTAATGTGTGAGATTATTATTATTATATTATTATGTGCTTGTTCGCGTAGACATCAGCATGGCCTGCAGCTGCATTAATGGGCATGCGAATCATGCAAACCAGCCAAAAATGTTCGCATAAGCCACTTCGAATAGATACAAAAGACCATAACAGTTTCAAAAAAAAGAAGAAATATGCGAAAAGAAGACAAAAACTAGGGTGGCGACACCACTCGGGTACAGATGCCCACCCAACCGCTTCGGTCAGCAGCAAGGGCACGGAACGCCTCCAGATCGACTTTGCTTGACAAGGAAAGTCCAATCCGCTTGGCATCATCTTGTAGTAGCGTCGGTAGTGTGTGTCTTGGTCGTCCCCTCCAGCCCGCTGGACGAGGCTCTGCGAAGTACGCTCCCATGGCCAGGGATGGTGGGGAGTCAGCCGGGAGCCGGAGGACGTGCCCAAAGAGCCTCCACCTAGCTCTCAAGATGATAATGCGGAGAGGAACCGCGCCGGTACGCTCATAGAGCCTCTCGTTCCTAATCCGATTCGGGAACACAATGCCGATTAGCGCCCGCAGCTGTTTTCGGTGGAAGGCCTCAATACGGCTCAGCTGCTGTTTCGTTGGTGCCCATGTTGCACAATTGTAGCAGAGTACAGGGAGTACAAAGGCATTATAGAGCCGGATGCGGAGATCCTCCGAAACTAGCGACCTACGGATCCACAGCGTCCAGAGTTTACCAAAGGCAACAGTTGCCAGTTGCTGTCGCCGTAGCATATCCTCGGCATCACCTAATAGGGACCCGAGTTTCTTGGTGGTTCGCCACTCCTCCTCGATGCGATCAGTGTGCCGTTCAATGTGCGTGTGCTCTGTTTTGGTCTCATTCACTTTCAAATCCCATTCGAGGAGCTTGTTGGATATGGTTGGAAGGAGGGTCCTCAGCCTCTCACCATCAGTAGTCACGAAATCCACATCGTCGGCGTAGGCAGTTTCAGTTGGTAACCCCAGGGAGATATCGGCAGGGGGACGTGGTAGAAGAAGAGGCCGGACATCACGCAGCGCACCCTCAAGGTACACAATGAAAAGAACAGGAGACAACGAGTCACCTTGGGGTGTGCCGCGGAGAGTGGGGAATGACGGGCCCTTAGCGGATGGGAGTACAACCCGCAGTACGGTGTCCTGGAGGAGGTAACTGATCATTCGGATTTCATCCGGCTGCAAGAACGATCCCAGCACCGAGATGAGCCGTGGCCTGCTTATACAGTCAAACGCTTTTGACATATCAATGCCTAGGATATCCAGCGCACAGCGATAGCGTTGGCATCGAGCCGCCAACCATCGGTATGACCACACAACATCTGTGGTGCTTCTGCTGGGGCGGAAACCACTCTGTGTGTGTGCAACGAAGTTGTTGACGTCCTTGTTGATCCTCCGCAGCACAATCAATGATAGAATCTTCCTGAGCGCTGTGAGTAAAACCACGGGCCGTAGGTGAGCGACTGGTCCCCTTGATTTGCCAGGCTTTTGTAACGGAATAATGTGTGAGATACATCCACATAATGAGTCATTGTCAATATACTTCAGTACTACTAAAAAAAAAGAAGAAACACCCTGAAAATGTGTTGTGGAACATGTCCGGGCATGTCCGGACAGATTTCAAAACGGAAGGACATTTGTCCGAGCTAAATGAAATCCTTAAGCTATGCCCTGGTGTGTGTGTGTGTGTGTTTGTGTGTGTGTGTGTGTGTGTGTTTGTGTGTGTGTGTGTGTTTGTGTGTGTGTGTGAGAGAGAGAGAGAGAGAGAGAGAGAGAGTGTGTGTGTGTGTGTGTATGTGAGAGAGAGAGAGAGTGTGCGTGTGCGTGTGTGTATGTGAGAGAGAGAGAGAGTGTGCGTGTGCGTGTATGTGAGAGAGAGAGAGAGTGTGCGTGTGCGTGTGTGTATGTGAGAGAGAGAGAGAGTGTGCGTGTGCGTGTGTGTGAGAGAGAGAGAGAGTGTGGGTGTGGGTGTGTGTATGTGAGAGAGAGAGAGAGTGTGCGTGTGCAGGTGTGTATGTGAGAGAGAGAGAGAGTGTGCGTGTGCGTGTATGTGAGAGAGAGAGAGAGTGTGCGTGTGCGTGTGTGTATGTGAGAGAGAGAGTGTGGGTGTGGGTGTGTGTATGTGAGAGAGAGAGTGTGGGTGTGGGTGTGTGTATGTGAGAGAGAGAGAGAGTGTGCGTGTGTGTGTGTGTATGTGAGAGAGAGAGAGAGTGTGCGTGTGTGTGTGTGTATGTGAGAGAGAGAGAGAGTGTGCGTGTGTGTGTGTGTATGTGAGAGAGAGAGAGAGTGTGCGTGTGTGTGTGTGTATGTGAGAGAGAGAGAGAGTGTGCGTGTGTGTGTGTGTATGTGAGAGAGAGAGAGAGTGTGCGTGTGTGTGTGTGTATGTGAGAGAGAGAGAGAGTGTGCGTGTGTGTGTGTGTATGTGAGAGAGAGAGAGTGTGTGCGTGTGGGTGTGTATATGGTACAGGCATGTGAGTGAAAAAAGAGGATAGTATTTCTGATCCTAGAACCCAGTCAGTCAGTGATGACTTACAGACATAGCAGGGTTTCCACTGTCTGTGACCTTCACAGTGACTTTGTGTACAGTCTTGGTTTCATAATCCGTAGACTTGGCCTTCAGCAACTTTGTACCATCAGGACTGAGTTTGAATTGACCATTATCATCATCAACCAGCTGCACTTGGTGAGTCTGTCCTTTGTCTTCATCAGTATAAGCGGATACTCCAACCACTGTTCCAGCTGGATCATTCTCTTGCACCTATCACATAGAACATGTCAAGATTAAACATACAAATACAGGAATAGCAAAACAAAATCAATTCAAAGGTGACATTCCCAAACCCCATAGGTTCTTTTCAAAAAGAGACAAGGCAATCCTTAATAAATCCTTTGAACCAGATAACATCGGTTTGGTGCGTCCATGGAGCTATGAAACTGAGACCTCTGGTCGGCTGAGCTCAACGGGCCCCACCACCACACTCCATTATTCACCCGTGTCTGGAGATAAGTGGAGTTTGTAGAGAAAGAAGAAGAAAAACATGAACGGCATGACGCCTGCTGTGCATTTCTTCAGCACCTTAACAACGACCAGAAAACATTGGCCTGGATGTATCCTGGAACCAACAATACATGGTGTATACAAAGCAGGTGACTTCTACTACTCAAAATCAGAGCTCAGGACTTGGCGGTATGGCTCTCTAACACAGACTGAGTGAAATTGGTCTGTTGCAACTCCTACTTTGCAAGGATAAATCCAACCATTCTAACTTCTGTGTGAAGCAGTATTATCCTACTGGCTATGTCATGCCCAGGACAGCGGCTGCTGCATCTCAACCTCTCTAGTAACAGCGAGCGGATACCATCGCTCAGCGGTCACAGCTTTTCAGAGGACTCGGCAATGAAACTATTGCTCTTTCCCAGCTACCCTCGGCGGGATGGTTATCTCAATACCGTCCACTGGTGGCAATGAGAATTTAACGCTTGGAGAAAGTCGTTGTCCAAGGTGCAATACCTTCATCTATGTGAACAGCAGGTAGACCAATACTCACAATGCTATTGCTGATAGTCAGTTGCCTTGGTTTGTCATTGATGTCCTTCAGTTGTATAGTGAGTTTGACGATTGCACTCAGCGATGGTGATCCACTATCAGTGACCCGCAACGTCACAGTCACACTGGGTGATGATTCAAAGTTCAATTGGCAGTACAGTCCGCCATACTTGAGACAATCAGCATTCGACATGTCCACCTACACAACAAAATTACAGCAAAACCAGGACAATCAAGGCTTGTTTGCTGCTACTTCAAGTTTCATGCTCTCGCAATCATCAGGCACAACGAAATCGCAAAATATCAGTACATCACTAGATTGAGCCTGAATTTAACTGCTACTGATGGGCACACAATGTAATGGTAACAAAGTGCACAAGTGGAACTAGTTACGGTGACTTCGAGTTTCATGCCAGACAGGTGATTGCCAGGCAACAAAGGGTGATTGGATGTAACAGGCTTACAATGCACATCCACACCATTACACTCCTTAAACCCGTGACACATGTACTCATGTCTTTTTACATGCCAACTCTGTTCCATGTGCTCTTCTCCTCTCCTCCTGCCTTCACCAAGGGTACTTGTATTTGAGATGGTAGACCAATGGTTGTTGCACTGCATTGACGAGAGCGTGTGGGCCTTCATTCAGTGTACTTGCTATTGTGAATGAAACAATTTCGGTGTTTTTTTGTCACTTTTTGTCGGCATTTTCAGTTAAAGACAAAGAACAAAATCTCAAGCCATTCTTCACCATCATCAGCAATAAGGACTCCGAATTCACGAACCAGTTTTTGGGCATTCTCTTCAAATGAAATACAAGCAAGCAGAACCAATGAAACATAGGGATGAGTAGCATCACAAGGGTGATAACCATTACAACTAGGTGATAAACTAGTTCGTGAATTTCGCAGTTCGTGTTGATGACGATGGTGAAGAACAGCTTCAGATTTGTGTTTTTCTTTCCCCGATAGCTTCCTGTCTCCAAGAAAGTTATTTTCCTTTAAGATAAAAGATACACAATAGGATTGCATCAGTTAGCAAGCTAGTCATTCTGCTGGATTATGAAATGAATTAAGTTTCCTATGAATTTCAATGATTATGACACACATACACAGAGGTTCAAAAAAGGAGAAAAGGATGCAAGATAAAGTACACATTCCTTTTTAGCACCCACTGTGGGTTGCTTACCTTCAATTCGTTTCCTTCAATCTTGAATTTTCCCTTCGTTGAGGCAACGAATTGGTAGCTGAATGTCTGCCATTGTTTATTGATATTGTCTGGGTCAGAGGTTGTAAGACTACCAACAACAGTATCCAACGGACTGTTTTCGTCAAGAACATAATTGTCCAATTGCACAGATGTTGGTGCTTCATTCACATCAATCACATTGATAACAAAGTTCTTTTCATAGCTTAGTGCCGGACTACCATTGTCTGTGGCACGAACACGAATCGTCCATGATGGTGATGCTTCAAAATCCAAACCAACAGCTGTACGGAGGTCACTGCCAGAAATCTAGTACCGGTGTACCCGAGCACACACGCACCCACACACACACACACACACACACACACACACACACACACACACACACACACACACACACACACACACACACACACACA